GGAGGAGAGGAAGGAAGGTAGAGAGGAGATCAGAATAAATCAAGAAAGGGACCAAGTGGAGGAGAAGGAGCAGTTGGAGGTGAGGGACAAAGTGAAGGAGGACGGCTGGTAATAGGAAGATGGAGAACACAGACTATCACAGCTGGGTTTCCCAATGTCGGCTAGTGTGTTTGCTAAGGTGTAGCTTTCTTTACAGGCTAAATGTTTGCAGCTGTAACTCCTCTTAGTGCTAATTAGCAAAACATGCTAATTGATGCAGAGGTGAGTGTGATTCTGTGCTGCAGGACTTGTTTAAACCAGGATCAGGGCCGGAGGTTTGAGTAGAGCGGAGCAGCAACTGTAGCTCTTCAGACGGAAAGTGAATCTTCAGGGACGCAGGGGAGCCTAGCGGTTATGTCGTCAGTCACATGTACAGAGGCTTTAGTCCTCGTCGCAGCAGCAGCCCTGTATTCTAATCTGACCTCGGCCCTTTGCTGCGTGTCATCCCTCACTCACTTTTCCTCTCTCTTCAGCTGTCCTGTCCAATAAAAGCTAAATTGGCCCGAAAATATGAAAATAAACCTTCAGTTTTTATGATGTAGAAATGAGAAACAACGCTCTTGTCTTCAGATTAATGATGGTGATTTAGGTTGTCAAAGTTTGAAGTACTTTCATTCTTCATCACGTGTTTTCAGACAATCCAATGTCTGATTTTTTTTTTTTTAACAATCGATAGTGTTGAAAACTACCGAAGCTTTAGAATAAACTACACCTCGTCATTCGTTTAAACCAGTGCTGTCAGAATTTCTCCATCACATTGAAACGTTGCCAACATATTTGTGTAAATTGAGATAAGGTTGCCCGAGTTACCTTGCATTTTTCTGGCATCTTAAAACAGGAAAGGTGTCAAATATCCTGTGTCTAGGCGTTTGTATTTTGTTGCCATGGTAACAAACAGAGATCAATATTATTTGATTTTTTCTTGTATCATATCTAAGTTTAAAATTCTGGGGGGTTTTTTTGGACAACCTTGGTGGTAAATATGTGATGTGTGATACGTCAAAGAGTCAGCCTCAACTTTCTTTTTATAAATCTTTTTTTTTTGTCCCCGGATCATTTACGGTAACATGTTTGTTTTTTTATTTAAATCCCCATTAACTTTTGCAACGCAGCAGCTGATCTTCCTGGGGTCAACATGATCTCCAAAATGACAATACAACAATACACAAAACATCCCAGTACGAACAGCTACAACACAGCAACGTAACCATGACAACACACACAAACACGGATGATATACATACACACGGACCTATTATTGTACACTATTATACACTAATGTGAGATTCAAACCCTCAGCATTAAACAGGTTGTGAACCCGTTTAGCTTTATCATATCTAACGCAGAGTATGAGCTCACATCACATCGCACAGTAGGCGACGTGATTTGGAAGTCTAATGTTTCAGTTGTCGCTCTCATTATGGAGAACTCGCCGTAGTAACGTAAACGCTGCTCCGTTGTGTACGCAGCGGCTGCTCATTTAAAGCAGCGTACATCTCATTACACGCAGACACATGTAAACAAAAAGGCCGCTCGGGGTGTTTGTGTTTCCGCCTCTGTGATGCTCTTCATAATGAGACATTACAAACATTGTAGCTTCTCTGTTTGTTCACCAGCGTAGACTGAGATCAGGCTTCTTTTTTAAAGTTATTTTTCGGGCCTTTTTCCGTTATTAGATTGGACAGCTGCAGAGAGACAGGAAATGTGAGGACGAGAGAGTAGGAAGGGACGATGTGCAGCAAAGGGACATGGTCGGAATCGAATCCAGGGCCACTGCGATGAGTACTATAGCCTCTGTACATGGGGCGGGCGACCTATCCGCTAGGCCTTCTGCGCTCCTTTTTTTTCTTTTCGATGCGACTTTATGTGTGACAATACTTTTGGAATAACTTTTTAATGACTTTTTTTTATTTGTTTTTGTTTTTTTATTTTAATGGATCCTAAAAAAATAAGAGTCATAGACAATACCAATTTAAATGTATTTATAAAACCATTTTATTTATTTAACAATAAATAATTTGAAGCTTTATGTTTTTTTTTAAATGTGTTTATTTATTTTCCATGGCAGATTTTAAACATCTTTACATCTCAGCAGCAGCAGATCGGCTCGTTGACGCTGTGTGTGTTTGTTTGGTAGTGAATGTGACAGGGGACAGGTGGAAAGGCAGGCAGCTTCTGCGTGTGTGTGTCTTTGTGTGTGTGTGTGTGTGTGTGTGTGTGTGTGTGTGTGTGTCACAGCGAGGCACGAGGTGGCTGGGACCATGTGCCTGACCTCTGACATCCACACGCCAAACAGCAGCAGGGCAACCCCCCCTCAAACACACACACACACACACAGACCCACGCGCCGTCTGTCACCGGCCCCTGACAGGCGTGACCGAGGCGGGGTGGGTGGGCATAAAAAGAGGGAGGAGGGGAGGCAAGTTTAGGACCCCCTCCAGCCATCGGATCCCCCTTTTTACTCCACCCTCCCCTCGCTCTCTCTCACTTATTCCCCCTTTTCTAATTCCCTGACAGTGACCCTGCACCCCATCTAACACACACACACACACACACACACACACACACACACACACACACACACACACACACACACAGCAAGCCGGCTGGCCATGTCAACCCAGAAGACAGATACATCATCTGCCCAGTGGCCTCTCTCTCTCTCTCTCTCTCTCTCTCTCTCTCTCTCTCTCTCTCTCTCTCTCTCTCTCTGTTATTAGCACTGATAGGATGAGTAAAGACGGGTGGGGTTCAGTTGGGGGGGGGGTCTGCTTGAATTTGAGTGGCTGCTGCCGTCAACTTTGCCCCAGGGTGGAGGAGTGTGCCAGGGCGATGGTCATTTATAGAAAGAGTCAAAAATGAAAAGTGTTGGTGCTGGTTTCTCCGTCTTTAGTGAAACAGAGATGTGTGTGTGTAACGTGGGTCTAATTTAAAACTTTGTACCATCTGAACATCTGTAACATTCAGGGGGGTTTTAGCGTTTGGTGTGTTACCAAGTACGAGGTGGTGGGGATGGGTGGATGGATGGATGAAGGGGTTGAGGGGGTTGAAAGGCCCCATGGCCAGAGGGGTTAGGGACAGTTATGGGGAAGGGGGAGAGAAGGAGGGGGGAATGAGATGATAGAAAGATTTTATGGGGGTCCCTCCCTGGATGAGGATAATGGAGCCTGGAATAATAAATGTATGTGTGTGTGTGTGTGTGTGTGTGTGTGAGAGAGAGAGAGAGAGAGAGGTGGAGTGAATTAAATTTAACCTCATGTTTGAATGAAATAGATCCAGCGTTTTAGTCGATTGTATCTCCCAGAAGTTTTGATTTGGAATTGTTCTCATTGAAAATCAGCAGCTATATTTGTAATAGTTGAAGCACAGCTGACTGCGGCGTACTCACGGCAGTATCATCAATTTATCTGTACTATTGCAGCTTCCATTACAAGTACTTCAGAGCAGCAGGACGGGGGGGGGGCCAATAGATCTGATGGTAGTAGTGGCGGCAGAGAAAGACGTGTATGACTGATGAAGCAACATTAATAGTTAAGCTGCAACAGACTCTAATGTGCAGCCTCAGTGAATGTCCTCAGACATCGAGGTGTGTGTAAGATACACCTCGATGTATAAGACAGGGAAGAAGCGATTAAGTGTCCAGATATCAGCTTTTATTTGAGTGTTTCCGCTGTGATATGGAGCAAATAAAAATCCGTCTTACACAGAAAAAGGTTTGTAGCTGAAGGTCAAAGTCAAAAATCTAATGAAAGTTCTTTAGCTAACAATCAGTGTATTTAATGTTTCTGCATCTTGAGGCGTCTTCAATCACTGAACTTTTCCTTTCTTGTGAGAATTCTTCCACTTGAAGATTGTATTTCAGACTCTGTGACTGCAGACTTTTTGTCTCTTTTTTTTGTTCAATACCAAATTTGTTCTGACTGAAATGATTCGGATTTCTTCTTGTGAGTTTCTACGTGAGGTGCTTTGAACAGCGCACACAAGTCAAAGCTCTGGCTGAGCATTCCCTAGTAGGGTGCTGCCACCATCTGGTTATTTAGTGTAACTGCATCCCCCACATGGCTCAAGCACTCATGAAGACTTTTGACTCCTGGTTTTGATTTTAGCTTCATGATTCAGGCTATTTTGAATATTTATGAACGCATAAATAAAACCACTTCACGGTGCTTGAGTACCATAAGCTCACACTGACCCCAGGACAGTTTGTACCCACTTTATTGCCTCATATGTTTGGGAGGCATTAATGTAGAAAATAAAAAAGAATCAAGCCATCAAACTGAGAGTTTAAGGACTAAAGTGAAGTCTGCGTCTCTGTTTCTGTCCCTGTTTCTCCAACATAATTTTATCCCTTTCAATTTCTCTTCGCTTCTGATAATTATTCATGCACTAATTTGCCTCAAATTCTAAATCTCTCTCTCTCTCTCTCTCTCTTTCTCTCTCTCTCTCTCTCCACCCTTTTCTTTTTCTTCATCGGATTTGTATCCCGTCTCACGACACCTTGAGTGCACCGAACGCCCACACACCAGGCTTATTTTTTATATTTCCTATAAGCTCGTCTCTTCTCTTGCCTCAAAGTATTCCTTCTTTCTTGCTGTAGATTTGGCTCATCATATGTGTGCTTCATCATGAATGTCTGAACGCACACTCAATGGGGGATAAAGTTATACTGATAGCAACAAAGAGGGGTGGTGTTTTTAGAGCGTGCTGGCCGTGGATTATTATCTCCTGTCGGGCACGTGAACCTCCTGCATACAAATCATTCTTACTAAACCTCAAAGAGCTCACATGTTGGGCTCAGTTATACCAAGACGTCTGTGTTTCTGTGGACAAAGACAGGCCGAGGCGTTGAGAGCGCAGTGCTGCTGTAGTCGTGGTGTTGTACCGTTTTAATCCAACATGGCGCCGGCTGTGCTGCTGAGTAATGTCTGGTGCTCGGGTAAGCACTTCCTCTGGCTCGCTCCTCTCGGACCAATTACTCCTGCAGTCCCAGAGGTCGCCACGAACAGCGGAGGGGAGTCCAGATATCTGCGGTGAAAAGCTGATTCGTAATTCCAGTCCCGCGCTCGGGAGTCGATAAAGTTTACATCCAAAGAGCTAAATGAGAACACGGAGTCATCAGTTTTGTTGTTGTTAAACTTTTGGCTTCTCAGGGTTTTTCTTCTGCGGGTCGTACTTAATGAAAACAGGATGAAAATTATCAGCAGGAGTCATTGTTAAAAGTCATAAAATATCACTGCAGAATTAAAAAAAAAAACCTGAAGAAACCGGAGCTTTAGATGCACTAACAGGAACGTTTAGCTTTTATTCTAATCAAGACGCTTTCATACCACCAAGCTTTCAGCTCCTCTGAAGTCACGGGGGTTAACATTTTCTATTTCCTCTTTGTATTTTCAAAGCTACTCAGGATGAACTTTAACAACTCTTTTTTTTTTTCATGTGCAAAATGTGTCCCTTTTGTTTAAGCTTCAGCGTCCTTTGCACAGCGTTGATGCGGCTTCATTTAGCAGCGATTGTTTGCATCCTGTGTGTCCGTCTGAGTGTTGAAAGGAAACAAGCAGCCGAGCCGGAGAGACGCAATGAATGCAATGTCAAGTGTAATCACAGAAACGTGTGTGAAGAGTCGTGTTTCTGGAGTTTCTTGAAAGTTTTTGTGTATTTGTATTTGTGTGTTTCCATGCAAGCCTCTGATGTGTGTGTGTGTGTGTCTGTGTGTGTTTCTTGCAGATATCAGGATGTCTAAAGCAGCAGAGGAGGAGAAGCCTGGGGCTGACTATCCAGGGGACAGCTCAGGTACAGACACACACACACACACACACACACACACACACACACACACACACACACACAGTATAATAACCGTGACCCTCTGTGTTTCAGACTCAGACAGAAACAGCCCTGATCACAAGGTGAGTTTTATCTTTCATCATCACTGGTTCCTGAGATATTAAACATTTTTACTGTATTTACTTTACTTACATTCATTCAAGAGTCATTACAAATAAACTGGTGCACTGTTTCTTAAAATCTACGTCTAGCTGATCATTACCCTTTGATTGGTTTTAGACTATGACGGCCTTTTACATGAAGCTGGTTCACTGAGAACTCGGTGACTCAGATTACACAAAGCCAGTTTCTACCTGATCTGTCACCGGTTGATTTTGTTGCTGTCGTTAAATGATAGTGATCATATCTTCTTGCTGGTGTGTTTTTGCCTCAGGTCCAGCTGATGAAAACCAGCCCCTACAGCGTGTCTCCCACACTGGCTGGAAGCAAGGTGAGCCAGTTCAGAAGTAGTTAGAGGGTGTGCATGTGTGTGTGTGTGTGTGTGTGTGTGTGTGTGTGTGTGTGTGTGTGTGTGTGTGTGTGTGTGTGTGCATATAAGCTAATAACGATGGCAATATTTTTTTAAATCAGTCAATATATTTAATTTTTAGGGGAAATGTATGCATACATAAAAATGACAGTAATGATGCCTAAAAATGTTTTGTAGGTTTGTGTTATAGACTGTATAAGGAATGGACAACGCAACAGCTTCAAAAAAGTGAAGCCAAAAGATTTAGAGTCCCCCCCCCCTGCTATTTTTTGGTTACAAGCTCCGCCTCCTCCATGCTAACAGATAGGGCAAACTTGAAAATCAAAATAGAAGTCAAATAAATTTAACTCAAACATGGTTGTCAAAGTTTGTAATTCTCATGCTGAGTTATGTCGAAGTGTTAGCTCTTGTGAAGAAGTTTATTTCAGTTAGTTATTTGGTGCCAAAAGGAGCGGATGTGACATCATGATTGACAGCTCAGTTGACAAATGAAGCTCGTGCAGCGTTCTTTCCCAGATAAAGAAGGAACAACGAGAAGAAACTTAACAATCACTAACACAACAGTCCTTCCACCTTAAGTTGTGTTTTGGCTTCAACTCTGCACAACAGAAGTAGATGAAATGCATCGTCCATATTTATATACAGTGTAAATCCCCGCATGTAGATATGTGATTATATGTGAGTATGTATGAGTGCTTTGCTGTGAATAAATCTTCTGAAAAAGCCTGAGGTGACACTCCTGTCAGCAGCTCTGAATATGCAAAACGTACCTCTTGTCCCCTCCCCTCCTTCCCTCCTTCCCCCGCTGGAGTTCAGAGAGCTCTGAGAGGAAAAGGCAGAAAGAGAAAGGATGTGTACGAGGACATATTGAGTGATAGACACACAGTAAAGGCGCTGCACAGAGTAGCGGTGATTGATGGGTAATGACAGCGCTGTGAGCAGGTAACGACAGCTGGGGGTCAGAGGTCAGCAGCCGTGGAATATTTCTGACACCCTGAAAACGAGGACGATTGACTCATCCTTCTGGACGGATGACCGGCACACACGTCAACCTGTGAATCAGCAGTGAGAGGAGGCTCGGGTTCAAGTCCAAGTCAGGGAAAGGAGTTCTGATGAGGATTCTGTCACTCTGTAAACACGTGGTGTAAAAAAAGCATCTAATTATTGAACATTTTGATAACTTTGAGTATACTTAAGAAAACCTTTACTCTGGTTTGAGCACTAAAACAACAACTTGAAAAGTCAGATTGTAAGTGTAAATCATAAAATGTCTGTTACCAGCTCTAAGATTTAAACCTGTTGTTCATTACTGTTTGAATTTGATGCAGCGTGGCACTTATTAAAACACTTCCTTTGATTTATGTGGTTTTAAAATGAAGAAACTTGTGGCACCGAATAGCCTCATGGTGATGTCCTGTGCTCCATGTACAGAGGCTGTAGTCCTCATCACAGCGGTCGGGGGTTTGAATCCGACCTCTGCCTTCGCTGCATGTCACCCCCCCTCTCTCTCCTCCCAACACTTCCTGTCTCTCTTCAGCTGTCCTGTCAAATAACGGCAAAAAAAAAAAAAAAAAGTAGATACACTTACTAACCTGAACTGTGCCCTGTGATCTCCTTTAGGTAAAGAATGAAGAGATCTCTGAGATGACCCACAGCGCTGCTGCTCCTCCCTCCCAACAACAACAACAACAACAACAACAGCAACTACAGCAACAACAACAGCAACTACAACAGCAACAACAACAACAACAACAACAGCAGCAACAACAACAGCAGCAGCAGCAGCAACAACACCACCACACACAGATGATGCTGGCCGGCAGTCAGCTAGCAGGGGTGAGACAACGGACACAAACACAGCCCACCCAATAACTGATTTGCAAATGCTTTAAAGCAGCTCACTTCACTTTCATTTATTTTGCATGTGTTGATTCTTTTCTAGACTTTGTATAAAACTGTTTTGGAAACATGGCAACAGCTGAGAACTGAGAACGGCTTAAACCACTTCAGTCGATCTCTAGTGAAAGGACTAAATGAAATCAGTCCAGATTTCTCTTTGTCTTTGGTGTTTTTTTAATTTTCTGGGATTTAAAAGATGATGAAAATAATGAAGCACAAACCACTTGCTTGACTTGCTCTGGCATGCTTTAACTGTCCGCTAACAGGTTCACCTGCAACTCTGTTCCTGGAATGTTTTTTTTCCTCACTGTCTTTGTGTCTTGCCTTCCCTCCACATTTTTATTCCTTTACTTGATCATTCCGTCATCCTCTCTTCTGTCGCTCCTCACCTTCACCTGTCCTTACATCCACTCTCCCACCTCCTCCTTCGTTTCTACATCCTCCCATCACCCTATCCTTCTTCCTCCGCCTGCTCTCCCCCTCCAGCTTGCCGCTCTCCTCCCGGCTCAGCAGCAGCTCCTCCTCCAGCAGGCTCAGGCTCAGCTCCTGGCGGCCGCAGTTCAGCAGTCAAACGCTGCCCATGCTGCTCACGCCGCCCATGCAGCAGCGCAGCAACAAGCCAACCAGCAGCAACAGCAGCAGCAGATCCAATCACAATCCCAGCAGCAGCAAGCCAAACAGGAGCAAACAGTACAAGCACCGCAGCTGACCCTGTCGCAGCCAATCCAGCTCACTGCACAGGTATTCATAGCAAACTCTTTATTTTTTCCCACTTCAATAATTAATTAATTGACTTTTATTTTGGCGGTCACTCTGCAGAACCATAACCTTTAAGCTTGATTAATTGATGCTGTGTACTGAGACATAACCAATGTGTTGGTTTGCAGGACATCCAACAGTTGTTGCAGCTCCAGCAGCTGGTCCTGATGCCGGGTCATCCTCTCCAGTCTCCGGCCCAGTTCCTCCTGTCTCAGCCAGCACAGGCACAGCAGACGCAGCAGGGTAAGGACTGGACTCTGGACACACAGTGGTCTGAAGAAACAAACAGATCAAATCAACAAAAAAAAATACACTTTCATTTGTGGTTTTTAGTTAAAAGCATGCATCATTTAAGAGTGCATACATCAGTATTTCTTCAATTTGTCTTCCTGCTTTTTCTCTTCTTTGATTTCTTTGCTGGTTTTTTAATTGTATCGAGAAAAGGTGTAACAGCTTCTCTCTCTTTGAAATGTCCTGTCTTTAGTTTTCTTTGGTGAGCTGTTCTCGTTAATCATTGGTTCCTCTCAGCAAGTGTTGCCTCGAGACGCTTTACAAAAGAGCAGTTAAAAGACCTTACTCTTTGTATTGCATCAGAAATAAAAACATGATCTGACTCCGAAGCTTTTAATAACAAGGCAAATCTGTGAACTCATGACTCAAGTCACATGTCTTGAATGTCTTAAGCATGTTTGACTTCTTGGTGGTCATCAATCGACCTCTCTGTGTCTGCTGCGCTGTTTGTTTTTATGCATCTATGTCGCTGTTAATCTACAGTATGTCTGCTGCAGTCGTCAGTCTTTATCTTCTTCACGGTGTTGTTGTATCAGGTGTGTCATTTGTCCAAAAGCCTAACCAGAGACAGACTGCACATAAGTCCCGGCTAGAGGAGATCCTGCGTTCATTGCATCGCTTGCACTTAAACGTATGGTCCCTGACACGTAAACTGAATCAAACAATATCGATGCCTCGTTTGTTACCACGGCAACTGCAATATAAGTTCTAGTCACCTGGTATTGACTCATTTATTGTTTTTTAATTACAAAAATTCCAAGTGAACTCCTGCACATTGTCTTCTTAATTGCACAAATACCTCATAAAATGTTGCTAAAATGTTTGTGCCATTCAGACAGCTCGCTCTCTCTCTCTCTTTTGCTCGCTTCAGCTTTAAGAATACGACTGAAGATCTGTAGTTATTTCAAGGCTTCGTTACATTTCGACACTATAGACCATTAAAATAATGGAGATTGTGTGTTTGCTAAAACATGGTATCAAATAGAGTTCAAGTTGAGAAAATGTTGTAACCTTGGTTCTCCTTCTGTCACAGGTTTGCTCTCGACACCAAATCTGATCCAGCTACCTCAGCAAAGCCCAGGGGGGCTACTGACAACCCCTCCACGTCTGGGCCTCCAAGCACAGGTAGAACATCTGTTTGTGTAGAAAAAGAGCCACCATTGAAAAGTACGGAGTCTAAACTTAAAGACGAGTGGGTTTTTTTGTATCCATGCAAATCAAGTAGATGCTGAATCTCTGCATTGTGGAAGTCTCTCAGACTGAAATTTACCCTCAATGAACAGCAGAATGCGAGCATGCTTGATTGTCTTTTTGAGTCGTGTTTTGCTTTAGAAGAGACATGCAGCAAACGAGTGCACAAGATGACATGATCTCTGCTGCATCGAGCTGCCTGTTTGTTTTGAAAATCTGCTTAAAAACAAAAAGTATCCCACAGCAGGTTCTCTGCATAATCGACGCAGTTTCAGAATGTGAATCTTAAATCATGACTATATATTCATACACAAGTCAAACATCTCACCTCGTATCCTCAGCCTTTCCCTTCTATAACATAACGCCTGTATGCATCCTCACACATCCGGGGCCGTTATAGATTTTTCATTAAGCTGTGATGAAGTCGTGTTGAACCCAGTGGCAGAGTTGGTATATTTTATGCACAGAGACGGTGAATGTAAATGAGGCGTGAAGCAGATGATGTCATGCATGATGTCGGCTCAATTAGTGGATATTCCCGAACATCAGGGGGGGGTCAAATTCCCGCTCAGGCTTACCTGTGTGTCAGCTGACCCTGTGCTGCAAAGGTTAAACCCCTGTACCCAAATATTGAAATCACAGCTTATTTCTCATGCACGTTTTCTGAATTATTCGTCAGGACTCCGTGGGTCAAAGATCTTGTGTGGTTTTTTGCATTATTCCCAGATGACGACCTCATATGTATTCACTGAACAGTTTATTTAAATTCACCCTTATTTTATTCTGAAACGCTTTTCATAACCTTGAAACTGTATAATTTATCAGAGGAGCATTGTGCAGCACAGTTCGGATGTCATTAAGTTACTTGGGCCTCAAACTGGATTCTTCAAATGTTGTTTGGATCAAACTGAAAGAAGCAAATATTCATGTTTGAACTGTTAATTCCTCTGTTTTGCTGACATGTCAGAGGGAGAAGAGCAGTGATGGGGTCTGTGGAAGCAGCAGCAGCGCCGGCTCTCTCGCCTCAGGCGGCAGCAGCAGTGTTGGCGTTGTGACGTCTGTGGGAGCTACTTCAGCCTCCAGCAGCTCCATGGCCTCCTCGCTGGCGTCCGGTTTGACTCCTGGAGGTCATGGGGGTCACGGGGCTCACATGGGGGAGGAGCCCAGCGACCTGGAGGAGCTGGAGCAGTTTGCCCGCACCTTCAAACAACGACGCATTAAGCTGGGATTCACCCAGGTAAGACACAAGAAACGACAAGGACCAGAAAGGTGGACGAGAGGGAGTGTGTTCCTGAACAGGCACATGTCTCAGGTCAGTTTCTCACGTTGGTTTTTTGTCTCTGTCAGGGAGACGTTGGCGTGGCGATGGGCAAACTGTATGGCAATGACTTCAGCCAGACCACCATCTCTCGATTTGAGGCCCTCAACCTGAGCTTTAAGAACATGTGCAAGCTGAAACCTCTGCTCGAGAAGTGGCTGGGTGACGCAGGTAAACACATAACATACAATTTCATCTTTGCAATCATGTAGATTTTATGATGTTTTCTATTTTTTACGAGAGGAAAAGTACAAAGCACTGTAGCGTTCTTTCAACACAATCAAACCACTGCCTTCATTGCTGCTCTGTCTGTTATCTTAACACGTCTTCATGTCTCTCTCTCTCTCTCTCTCTCTCTCTCTCTCTCTCGCTCTATAACACTCTGACAGAAACCATGGCGGTCGACAGCATGCTGCCCAGCCCGTCCTCTCTCTCCTCCCCCTTGTTGGGCATGGAGGGTCTACCCGGCCGACGCAGGAAGAAACGCACCAGCATCGAGACCAACGTGCGAGTGGCCTTAGAGCGCAACTTCAACATGGTGGGAGAAATGTGTATCTGTGTGTCTGCAAAACGAAAAACCGTCTCTCGTTTTCTCGTCAGAAATCCTTCTTTAGTGTCAATCATACTCATCGTACCGTCATTGTCCTGCTCAGAACCAGAAGCCTACCTCGGAGGAGATCCTGCTCATGGCCGAGCAGCTCAACATGGAGAAGGAGGTGATCCGCGTTTGGTTCTGCAACCGCCGGCAGAAAGAGAAGCGCATCAACCCCTCCAGCAGCACCACCCCTCCCCTGCCCAGCCAGACCTCGCCCATTGTGACGCACAAAGCCTCCTGCTACAGCCCACACATGGTACGCTCCAACACTAACCTTTCAGTACTTCTTTTATGTGTTACACCAGAAGTGGGGCTGATGTTTGCTTCATGGAAGGATGGCTGTATTTCCTGATCTGATTTATCTCTCCCCCCCCCCTCCAGATATCGAGTCAGGGTCTGTCCCAGGTCCCCACCAGCCTCAGCACAACAGGTGAGCTGTAATTAATGTTTGTGCCTGCTTGTCAATAAATAATTAAAGGTTAGAGCAGCGCCTCTCAACCCCCGAGGTCGGCCACAGGAAGATTGAACCGGTCCTGACATTATTTGGGAGAAGTTGATACTTGAGTTTTGTCGACTGGTTTGATGAAACACTGAAGAATCACTTTAAAAAAAAAAAAAAAAAAAGGATTTCTGTGAGAGAGAGAAATAGAAAACAATGATGTTTTGTTGACGACAACATGGAAGCACTGGTACCATCTCGAGTTGTTTACCCCCGTGAGTCGCGCCTCGTTCTCGTGATTTATAGAGATCAGCCACAGTGTGCGGCGTCCCAGGCTTCACAGATATGACAGATGACCTGACAGGTAACAAACACAGCTGGAAATGTATCGTCCTGTTGAGCCCAGGCTAATACTCTCCTATCAAACTTCTCTCCCCAGTCTGTGCTTGAAGTGGATTAAATGAGACACTCAAAAAGCTCCCTATCGTGTCCCATGATGGAGAACCGTGTCACCAAAGTCTTTATTCAGTAACAAACCACCGTCCAGTGACAACAAACCTGTATTAATGTCCTCCTTTCGCTTCTCTTCCTCTCAGCTGCCAGCTCCTCTCCTTCAGCCTCCTGCCCCATGACTCCCGTCAGCTCGGCTGCAGTGGGCTCCACCTCTTCTGCTGTGACCCCGCCCCCTCACAGCACAGCCAGCCCCGCCCCTCAGAGCCTCGCCACCCACGGGCTCAACACAGGGTGAGTGTTCATGTACAACTTAATCTACGACAGCTTCCATCCGAGACTGTTGGAATATTTTTTTTTAGCATTTTCCAAAACAATGTTATCGAAAACTAGAAGTGTGCTCACACACTCACAGCCCAGACCTGAGCCAAGGCCAGTAGTCGTCTATGTAAGCGAATCTAGATTGGAACTACTGTGAGTGTCTGAATTTAAAAGGAGTAAAACAACCATAACCCTAAAATAATAATAATTATGGTCAAATTTGGTTGCTTCCTCATTTCTCTGCGGAGATATATTTGCTTTTTAACCTTCTGTTCTTGGACAAAACCGGCTGCGTCATGAGTGTAATTGTTCATATACGTGGCTATGCACTAAGCATGTTACTGATGGAGACCTCAAGAGGGCTCACCAGAGAGCTCAGGCTGTCTGCAGCTACTGGATGCAAGGGATGTAGACGACAGCAGGCCTATTGAACTCTGACCGGCGGGTGACATCAGACTGGCCCGCAGATCCGTTCTATTAACAATTCAAAAGTAAATAACTAATAAACAGGGGGTAACACTTGTGGATGACTGTCACATGGTTGCCACAGTAAAGTTTTCAATAGAACATCTTTGGTCCTGTGCACGCAGCCTATCACAAGCGGTGGGCTTTATTGTCCAGCCCCCGGGTCCTTAGCTTTGTAATCAGTCTGACAAAGAACTCTGCATGTTCACACACACATGGAGACGTGTTTTCAATGTAAGCCTCTGAGTTTGAATCTGCGACAACTTCAGAGACATTAGAAGGAAACTTCAGGCCTGCGTCTTCCCTGAGTTACACCACATAATGTTTCTATGCCTAACCTGTCAACTGCTTCTCTACATGTGTGAATGTTCGCGTTGCGTTTGTGTGTGTGTGTGTGTCTGTGTGTCTGTGTGTCTGTGTGTCTGTGTGTGTGAATGTGCGGCTCATCCACACATTTCAGGAACACAATGATGGGAGTAAGCACAGGGATGAACCCGGCCCTCATTGGCAGCAATCCCTTGGCTACCATGCAAGGTGTGTGTGTGTGTGTGTTGTTGTTGTTGCATGCAGACTGGCCCCTCTGGCCCCTGAGAGTCCTCATGAGTCTCATTTCTAAAGACCACTTCCCATTTCACCCTTCATCCATTCTGTCCAAAATGAATTTCCTTGAAGCCACGCTCCTCCTCCTCCTCCTCCTCCTCTTGCTCCTTCTTAGCTTCAAACTTTCTGAGTCGCTCAGTATGGTGAGAGATTCAATTTGAGTCTCATACAATAGTCTGCTATTATCACAAAGTGACAACGGCCCCTTATGGCGGAGCTTAAGTCAGCTTACAGTAAACAGTTGAACAGGCACAATCCCCCCCCCTCAATATCGGGACCCTGTTGGCTAAATAACTAGTTTCACTCAAAATTCTCCTTTTATTGTACGAGATGATCTGCAGCCGAATCAATTAAGCAGCACAAATACCGTGAGTGGAGCTCAGCTTTGAATCCGCCACGTGGTGCGTCTCCCTTATAGCGCCAATTCAGACTTTGCCCCTCTTTTTTCTCCCGCTCTGTTCTGCGTCATTCAGAGGGCGGCCTCCTCCAGGCCATGTGTTGATGAGAAGGACACAGTCTGTTAGGGAAACTGCAGGCCTGGCACTGCCGGCTCTGATGGAGCTAGAGGCTGACGGGGAGAAGAAAGAGGAGCCTCTGTGAAAAAGAGCGAGGTGGAGATGAAGTGTCCATGTGAAAGGAGTTCTGGGTTGGATCCCTCCGGGGGGGCCGCACACAGGCGATGAATGTTTACACTGGTGGTGCTCTAATGGATAAAAGTGTTGACGACTGGAGTTCAGAAGTGGGCAGGTGTGCGGGTGGCGTTCTGCCTGGACAGTTAATCCCACATGTTTGCTGCTGCACTTCTGCAGCAAAGATTATTTTCAGCATCAGGAAGTTTGTAGTCTGTTATTATATTTTTCAAAACGAGCTGCAAAGCAATTCATTGTATAGTTTGAAAGACATATATTTAAGCAAACGGTCATGTTGCACACTCTATGTACAGAGGCCGTGGGTTCAAATCTGACACGGCCCGTTGCTGCACGTCGTCCCCTCTCTCTCTCCTCGAAACATTTCCTGTCTCTCCTCAGCTGTCCTATCAAATAAAGGCAAACATGGCCCCAAAAAATACATTTTAAAAATTACAATTTATAAGGAAAGGTACACAAAGAAAGTGTCAACTAAAAAATACAAAATTAAATTGGAAAAGTGGTTAGAGTGCACGCCTCATGTTCAGAGGCTAAAGTCCTCGAGATAGCAGGCGGCCCGGGTTTGAATCTGGGTCTCTCCGGTCTCTGACTCTATCCACCATCCATTAAACTTAGGTATAGTATCTTCTTCTTTCTCTTCCAGAAGGTCACTCTGAAACGTAAACACTTGAGCAAATAACACAACATTTCTATGTCCTGTATTTATCCTCTCTTTTTTAATTTAACTAGGGTTAGGGTTCAGATTGCGATCATAATACAAAACTCTTCCATGAAGTTCTTGTAACAATGGGTGGGAAATACAAAGAGAAAGAATAAAAAACGGTTCATACATCACGGCAAAGCTTTCTAAAAGATGTAGAGAGAAAATCGAGGGCGACAAAGATTCTTTTTAAAAACATTTGAACCCTTGAGAGCGAAAGCTGGAGTTTTTTATCAACAGCGTATCATAACTGTTGAGTGTCATGTTGATTGTCTGAGGATACTTGGTTTTGTGTGCAGACATCCACAGATACTAAGCTGAAGGAATGAGGAACAAAAGAATGATATTATTGAAAAAAAACATCATCCAACTGGACTCACTGTCATTGTCACATAGAAGAGAGTTACTGCTGTTGTGTGCATGAACACATGTAGTAAACACCCATCAGGCTCACTGTCATTAGCCTCCTTGTGTTATAGGATCGAGTCTCCTTCACCTCCACATTTTCATTTCAAAGAGTCAGTTCACTCAGATAACAAGAGATACTTCGGGGAGTTTCTCTCCATGCAGGTTCAAATTCCAGTAAAAGTTTGTCTTTGCAGGATTAGTATCTGAGTTAACTCTGACAACAATTAGTTAGTCCTTTTAAAAGGAGTTTCTTTGTAGCACAGGAATGATTCTGACTGGAGGCGCGGGCACACGCCCCAGTACGGAGGCTGTAGTCCTCCAAGTGGGCGGCCCAGGTTCAAATCTGACCTGTGGCTCGTTACCTGCTTCTCATTCCCCACTCTCTCTCTCCCCAGTTTCAGACTCTATTCTCTGTCCTGTCTCTAAAACAAAGGCATGAAAGCCAAAAAATAAACCTTACTTGAAAATCTTTTTGTTGTTATTTGGGTTACTCTGACTCTTCGATCGTCTGTTTCTGATTCAGTATAATCACAGACGGTCAGATGAATATCCATCCACCCTGCAGTCATCCCTCATCGTCCACATGTCCACCGTCCCATTTTGAATACTTTTAATGCGCAGAAACTGATGTGTTCACTGACTTCTCTTTCTGTCCTCCACATCTCTGTTTCCACCTCCCGTCTCTCTCTCTCTGCTTTCCTTCAAACGGTTTCTTCTTTCTGTTCTCTGCCTTCATTCATCCCTCTCTCCATCTCTCGCTTTTATCCTCGTCTGAACTTTCTACATTTTTGTATCTTCCTGCTCTTCCGGCTCTTCCTTCCATCATTTGTCCTTTCTCTGATTCTCCCTTCTCTTTCTTCCTCTTCCTCTCTCCCCTCTTCCTCTTCTTCTTCCAATCCTTGTCTTTGATACCCTTTCCGTATTCCTCTTCCTCTCCTCTTTCTCTCTTCCTTCCTCATCAGCTCTGGCAGCAAGCGGCGGTCAGCTGTCCATCTCCGGCCTGGATGGGGGAGCGGGTCACATGCTCCTGGGCGGACCTGGGGGTCCAGTTGTCTCTTCTTCCCTCTGCCAGTCTCTTTTCCTCAACCGCCCCACCCTCCTCCCCATGGTGACCGGTTCCATGGCGACAGCCTCCACGCCCACCTTAAGTCTGGTCAGCGGCGGCATTGGTGCTTGCGGCCTGAGGCCCTCCTTCTCCCAAACTCCGCCGTCCGGTGCCAGCGACCTCATGAGCCCGACCTCCTGCCCCGAGGAGTCCGCGTCTCCTTGTTCAAGTCCCGCCTCTTTCTGTTCCTTCAGCGAAGCCTCGCCACCGCCCCTGGGAGGGGCGATGGCCGAGTGATTGCTGACTGACAGCCAAAGTATCCTATCAGAGGAGGACGAGGAGGAGGAAGAGGAGGAAGCAGAGCTTTAAAAATCCAAATTTACAACCTCGCCTTTCAACCAAAGCCATCTCTCTGTCTGATCCATCTCTGATTTCATCTCTCTCTTTCTGCGTCTCCCCGCTGAAGTCTTCTGAAGCCAAAAATATACACAGACGGATGAGGGGAGGACGAGAAGAGAGAGTGAGGATGGAGAGGATAGAGAGAACTGCAGAATGGAGGGGGGACATTTGAAACCAAATAACGATCTACAGCTGGAGAGGTGGCACTGAAACGAGCGCCGTGCTTTTTATCGGCTGGAGAGAAGAAGAAACTGAGACTGAGGGCAGGGATGAGAAGCCAAACTGTGTGTGAGAAATGGGAGGCAAAGAGAAAAGACTTGTTTAACAAGCATGGAAGGCCATGTGGTCGCAACCAAATGAAGAGGAAGATGGTAGAAAAGAAACACACACTTACAAAGAGGAAAACCAAAATCTCCAAATACCAAAAACTGAAAACCAAAAAAAGATAAAAAAACAACAAACGGAGAGAAAAGCTTTAGTTCAAAAAGACTTTTGTATTCTGATCGGTCCAGGATCAGTTCAGTGCTCCATCCTACGTCATGACAAACATTTTCCACGCTCACTCGGGGTTCCTGTTATTCTCATTCACAGAACATCTATTTTTCTATGATTTTATACTCATCGCTCTTTATCCTGATTCTTACCAAATACACACGTTAAATGCTTTACAGCTGATCCCAGACGCAAGATATCTACCTACCTCTCTCTTCACAGCTTTACAGTTTGACCCCACCTTAAAAACAACAGGCGGTGTTTGTTTTACCCAGCCTGGTGTGGCAGACGGGTGGAGTTTACTCCTACGATTCCTCTAGCGTTAGCTCGTATGCTAACCCATACGCACTGCAGACAAGAATAACTTTTACAAGCTTTTCTGTGAAGCGATACTTCCTGACAATAATTACACACTAATATGTATTAAACTCCACCCGTCTGGCACCTAAAAAACAACCATATGTGTTGAAAATCCTGTTTAAGCCAAGGCAGAATTAATATTACGCTCAGTTTTCCCTTTTTTAAGCCGTTGACGTCAGTTTTTGGGGATTATTTGCTTCACCTTCTTATTTCCATCACCATCATCATCATCACCTCTTTATTATGATATTCTCATTGTTGTCTTTACACTCAAACCAAAGTTTACACTCTCTACAGTATCTATACTGCCTACAAAGAGGATGCATAAACACCACAGGCAGATAGGAATCGTCTTGGGGTTTCTTTCAGCAATATTTGCCTTCTTTTATTTATTATTACCCCACACACACACACACACCCACACCTTCATCATGTCATCCTCCAGACTGCTCATCGACCACCAGACAGTCACTCTTGGATACCAAAGCATCGCCTCTGGCAGCGCTGTCTCTGGATTTCGCCCGGGAGACGAGTGTCCAGACAAAACCTCAGTAGTGTCAAAGGGAAAAAAAAAAAACACACACATACACACAACTACACTACAAGCATAAGAAAGAGTCCAAACCAAAAAAAAAAAAAGAACAAAAGAAGAGGTGAAGCACCGGCGTTCCCCTTAACTGCCCCCAAACCCCTGCCCTCCATCCCATCTGCCCCTCTCCTTTGTCTCCAAAGATCACATCAAAGGGCCAAAAGAAGAAAAGAGGAGAAGAAGAAGGAGAAGCGGACAGGAGCCAAAGGTGTAAAAAAAAAAAAAAAAAAGCTGCAGGGGGAAAGCATGAAGAAGGAGAGGAGAAGAAGAAGGAAGAGGAGCCGGAAGGAGGAGGAGGTGCGCTCGGAGCGGCGGACCAAAAAACCAAAAAGTAACCCAAAACCAAAAGCTACTACTACTGCTACTAGTTATGTATGAGTGACTGAACTGTAACTAAACCAAATACAAACAAAGAGGGGGAGGACGAGGGGAGAAAAAGGGGGGAGGAAGGCCCTGTCTGTCTGTTCGTCTTTTAGCTGTGATTGCCGTTCTTGTATCGACAGACAGAAATCGTTCCCTCCCGCCCTCTGCCAGCGACCTCGGCTTTGTTCTCACTTTGTTTTTTTTTTCCCTGGATGGATAAAATATGGAGTAACCTCAACAAACTGACTTTGAGAATATATATATTTTTGTTTTTGCTTTCCATAGTGTGTCTGTTAATGATGTATGGATTTGTCTCATTGCTTTCTACTTAATATGCGGCGGGAAGGAGGGAGGGGGGAGGGAGGGAGAGGGGCGGTGGGTTTCATATCTTCTTGTCTCTTCGGTTGTGCTCTGGGTTTTTTTTTTTTTTTTTTTGTCCATGGTTGGAAATTGCGGTGAAAATGTAGCTTCCAAGATAAAAAAAAACCAACTTTTCTTATTTCATCCAGAATGTTAAAAAGCCAAAACTGAAAACCAAAAGCGAAACTTTTTAGAAGTACAACAATACCAAATAGAACAACCAAACCAATGCACAAGATGTCTGAGTGATTCAGCTGACTGTGTGTGTGTGCATGTATGAGTGTGTGTGTGTGTGTGTGTGTGTGTGTGTGTGTGTGAGGATGCTTCAGTAAAGAGGATTCTCTTGCATAAAAACCAAACCGTCAGTCGAAGTTAAAACTCGCTCTTTCTGTCACTTAAACATGTCGGACAAAATAAAACCACTTGATGCTTTTTTAATACACCCAACAGTAAAACTCTGGCCGTTTTCAACCTGGACCTGTTTCACACATTTTTCCCATCATGCTTTTCTTCTTAGACTTTGGTATATGGTAAATGGACTTGAGCTTTTCTAATCTTCTGACTGTTGAGACCATCAGAAGTAACTAATCCCATTCATACACACTCATACGCTGTCGATGAAACAGCGTGAGCAACTTGGGGTTGAGTGTCTTGCCCCATCGGACATGTTGCTGCAGGAGCTGGGGATCGAACCCTCGACCTTCCGGTTGAGAGAGCCACGGTCGCCCCCTTTTGCTCCTGAAATATAAGAAACATCTTGAAACCCAGAGTACACTTTGATAAATGATTCCCTATTAAGGACTATTTCCTTCAAAAAGCCAAAATGAAGTTTTGTTTTTGGTGACAGCTGATCGCTGTGATGGAAGGAAAAAGGAAAAGGCCCAGGTTGAAACCAGAGTAAAGCTTTAATGACACACACACACACACACACACACACACACACACACACACACACACACACACACACACACACACACACAGGTACTGAAGGCAACCAATGATTAAGATGATATGGGGGGTGGGAGGGCGGGGGGGGATGCTAACGTGTGTTAGCGTCCACTGTTAGAGGGAATGTATCCATTAGTTCTTATAGGTTTTTGTAGGGGGAAATAATCTATGTTCAATTGCTCTTACTTGTTGCTGATGTAAAAAAAAAAAAGGCTGGGACTATTATCCTTTGACGACGACCGAAGATGATGAACCAAAAGCTTTAAACCTTTTATCTCTCACGGGCTCTTTGTTGGACAAAAAATATTTGTATTTATAGTGTGAGGGAGGTGTGTGCTTTTTCGGGGGGGGATGGGGAAAAAACGGTCCGTTTGTATTTGATGAACTACTTTGTCTCTCACCTTGTTAATTTATTGACCCTTTATTTATGTATTTATTGGATTCTATTTATGTCTTTCTGGATCTTTGTAATAGTTTTTTCAGGGGTTGTTGTGCGGCTTGTATCTGCAGAGAGAGAGAGAGGTGTTCTTGAGATCAAGACAAGAATAGAAGATGCCAAACGAATGTTTTCAAAGCAAAACCAAACCTAGAGACTGCTGTGACCTGAGACACGGAGAGGAAGTAGCAGGGGGGCGGAGGAAAACGCTGGTTTTAAATCAGCTTTGTGGGAAAACTGTCGAGGAAGTGAAGCGTTACGTATTTAAATACCAGCACCGGTAACGTGTGTAACTGTAATCAATCTTCTCTCATCCATGTTACCTAGGCAACCACTCTGATCGAAAAGAGGAAAAAAAGCTTCTACCTTTTTTTTTTACGAGAAAAGAGCCGGTGTAAAGTGCTTCACAGTAAAATGACAGACCGGAAATAAAAACAGAAATTCACAACAATAGATGACGACTTAAAAAACAGGAAATATGACAATTAAAGAATTAAAACATAAAATAAATTAATAGTTACACAATACAATATGTAGGAATTAATGAATTTACATCTGGAAATGACAAAGACCAGAGATAGACCTACTGTTAAAAAAAATGTTGACTAAGGCCGTAACATCACTCCAAATTAAAAGCCAGATTAAAAAAAGGTAGGTCTTAACTTTACTTTGAAACGTTAAAAGGATTCCTCTGTTTGAAAAAGTAAATATTTACTATATTTGAACCAAATGTCTAAGAAATAACCCCCAGGTGAAGCTGTAACAAAGCTAATGGAGTTACTGCTACCGATAAACTAACATTAGCTCGTTTAGCTACAGCTAAGCTAGCTGCATTGAAAAGTTAATGAGCTTGTCTTTAATATGGTCAACAAAACATACCACATAGTTCACTTTAAAAATGCTTTAAGTTTACGTTCTAATTTCCACTAGAAGATTTAACCAGATTTTCTCAAACATAACTAAATGAAGCTAACTTAAGTTTCAAAACACTAAGCTAAGTGGCGTAAGTGCGATTAACATCATTATTATAAACTCCAAAAAAACAGCAACTCTTGGTGTTTGTGGAAAAAAGAAAAATAGAAGTTTAAAGTTTGTTTGCAAGTAAAAGCTACTAACGCTGATATGCTTCACAGTTACGTCATAGCTTATGACGCTAACGGCGACTTTCTGTTTAGACGTCACTAAGGAGGTTTTCTCGTAACCATTTCAAACATTACTTCAGATTTTAACTATTTGGTATGTCTACTTTTTTATGATGCAACCAGGTTTAGTATCTTACTTAAGATTTAAGATCCTAAACGATAAGGCTAGCTCTCTAAAACTTTAGCATGTTATAGCTAGCAAAAGCTACGCTAACCCAGTCTGGGACATCTGAAGGGATTTTTTTTTTATGATAAATGTGGAAGTAATCTAGTCAGACTCTTATAATAGCTGTTCACACACTCTGAACTTGTAAAACTGGTCGGTGGTACATTTCATAAAGTTTCCCACAATGCTTTGGTTTAAAATCTGCCATGTCCTCTGTCCGCGCCTCCTCCTCTGCTCTCTGAAAAAGCTTTCTGCTTCCCTCCATCCCGCTTCAGGATGAGGGGGGCTTTAACTCATACCTCTTGATACTCTGATGAAAAAACCAAATAGACATTCAAGCTTTAATGACAAAAACAAAGACGTGACTTGTCTGAACTCAGGAGTGAGGGATGTGAAACTGGCCCTAGCGAGTTAGCTTGATCAAAGGAGAAACAAAGATTTACATGAACCAGTTCTTATGGCTTTAACCGACAGAATACACCAACATGTCCGCTCACGGT